TTTTCTATTTGTGGGTCGAGGACGCCGCATTCAGTCAGTGGGCCGGACAAAAATAACCGCCGCCGCCTCATTGGCTGGCAGCGGCACACTCTCATGCATACGTAATGAAGCCGCCAGAGGACCGAATGATGAATGGAAGGCGCGCGCGCGCGCGCGCGCGCGTGCACGCGTTTCGATAGAGCAGTCAGCCAATCACAGAGCAGCTATTTGTGGGTCGAGGACGCCGCATTCAGTCAGTGGGCCGGACAAAAATAACCGCCGCCGCCTCATTGGCTGGCAGCGGCACACTCTCATGCATACGTAATGAAGCCGCCAGAGGACCGAATGATGAATGGAAGGCGCGCGCGCGCGCGCGCGCGCGTGCACGCGTTTCGATAGAGCAGTCAGCCAATCACAGAGCAGCCGAGCCGGCGCTGATGAGCTGTCAATAACGGGATCGCGGTGCGGCTGCTCCCGGGTCACACACGACGCTCCCAGTGAGGCTCCCCCCCCGCCAGGCGATCGGCGCTGACTTGACTTGTCACGTGACCACACGAGAAGCCGCAGAAGCAGCATGTGACTCACGCTCCTTTCGTGCGTTCGCGCGCTGCACCATATTGCCTGTGACTCACGTGCGTGAGAGTGTGTGTGTTTGTGTCAGAAACGCTCCTGCTCATGACACTTTATGTGCACTGATGAAGTTGGGGGTCGGTGGACACCCCCCCCTAAAAAAAAAAAAAAAAAAAAAAACGCATGCGTAGTAGCCCGCAGGCCTGTTCTAAAAATAGCACAGCACTTTCACTTTTTGTCTTGCTCTTCTAAAACAAAGAAAGAAATATTTACTTGCTATTCCTTTTTTTAAATCACGCCTGCCGAGGTGCAACAATTCATCTGATTTGACTTTGAAAAGCACTCATGAACATTTTTTCTTTTTGTGTGTGTGGAGATCCAGGCAAAAATCGGAGTTATGAGTGCGCTTCACACGAGAAGGCGCCTGCGCGGTTCACAACATCTGGCCACCATCAGTTCACATTTCTCTTCTGTCAGTGGAAGGAAAATATCAGGTGGTGGCGCTAGTGCACCAAGAAGCCGCTTTGCCAACCGCTGCAGAGAAGAACAAGGACGGACGATGCGTCGGGCACGGCCGGGTTTCAAAACGGCTTTTTCTCGGTTATCTGGAGGCCAAACTTATTTTGGGGCTGTTTTTAGTGGGGCTTGATTGAGATGGCCTTTTTTGAAGACAATCCCAATATTTGTCTGATTAGGCTAGACTGAGAACAGATTCATTGGCGAATGAGTTTTCAAAAATACAACATGGAGAAAAAAAATCCATTATTTTGGGGTTCCTTAATGCTGACAACAATCAAGCTGTGAATTACGGGCAGATTAGTTAATTACAATATTTTGGTATTGGTTCAACTTTACAACTGTGAGTAAAATCGACAAAAATTAGCAGGGTTTTTTTTTTTGGGGGGGTCTTATTGTGTTAGAGCAGAAAAAATCGTTCTTGTTCTTTTAAAACATAATATGATCAAATCAGCCAGCAGACTTTTTTTACACAGTCGACTAGCTGGTGGGTGCCAAAATTCTTTTGCGGTCTGGGGGGGGGGGGTCTGGAATGGATGAATTGCATTTCCATTTATTTCAATGGAGAAAGAACATTTGAGCGTGTTGGGAGGCAAGCGTGTTCATGCAAAGAATTCAACTCACATCTCGAGGCGCCACTAGAAGACATTTGGAAGGTTTTTTTTTTTTATAACACCGCAACCATTTTGTTCTGTTAGCTTAGTTGCGAGCGAGCATTTGGATGATGGCGATGACTTGTTGCCTCCATCTGCGAGTTCGTCATCGGCCAAACATCAACGTTGGCGCAGATGTTCGCGCCTAATCCCCCCCAACACACACACACACACACACACACACACACACACACACACACACACACACACACAAGCGCTCGCACGCCTACGCCGGTGATGTAAGATGCCATGTAATTCCACGAGGGTCACGTGAGCTCACACCGGAAGTGTTCCGCTGGGGCCAATTGTGCGCAGTGCCACTTTACTTTCGGTGTGTGCCAGGTGACCTTGACAGGTGTTTCCCGCCCGCGGGGGGGAAAAAAAAAAAATCGAGTGCGTCGTCACGTGACCCGAGGCTCCCCCCTCTGTGACGTTCCAAAGGGGGGTGGGGGGGGTCGACAGGTGCACGCCGCAGCCTGTCTACCTGTTGTTCCGCGCGCGCGTGCACGCTGTCAATCATGGCAAGGTCACGTGTGCGCGCGCGCCCGTGTGTGAGTGAGTGCATTTTCGCGCGCTTACCGTACACGCCCTGCGCGTGCACGCCGCGCACGAAGCCGCTCCAGAGCCACACGAGCGCCACCAGCGGACCCATCTTCACATCCTCCCCCGGGGACGAGCTCGTCTGTCCGGCCTCCTGCAGACGCTCGGCCCCCCCTCCTCCTCCTCCACCGCCGCCTCCTCCTCGTCCTCGTCACCTCGTCCTCTTCTTCTTCCTCCTCCTCAGAGCAGAGTCGTGCCCAGTGTCGGAGTCTCATGCAAACATCCCAAGCAAGCCGAAGAGCCCCCCCCCGCCAGCGGCGACCCCGCGCCCACCCACCCCCGCTCCCGTGCACGTACACGCCGGCCGGGCGGTCAGGCGGTCCCGCTCATCCACCCGGCAGGCCCGCGGGAGGCCGGGGCTCCAGACGTGTGAGGAGGAAGAGGCGCTTCAGGCGGCTCTCCTTGGCGCTGACATTGTGTGCGCGCGGGGCGGGTTCCCGCTGACCCTCGGAGCGAGTCTCGCGGTCCACTTGACTCGCGCCGAGCGCCCCTCAATGCATCCTCGAGCGAGCGGGCTGCGGTGCGGTGCGGTTTGGCGGCGGCTCGTCGCGCTCCGCCGGGCCGCCGAGGGACGAGCGCAGTCGGCCTGAAGATGGAGCGGCGGTCCGCTCGTTCGCTCGCTGGGCGCCGCTGGTGTCGGTGGATTTGACCGGTGAGACGTCAGCGGCAGAACCAAGTCGCCGGCAATGGGCCGCCGACCTACTTCCTGGTTGGCTTTTCAGAGTAAAACGGGGCGGTCTGATGCGAAGTCGCTTCAGTGAAGCTCACTCTCCTTTGATTTAAATGGAAGGGGGGCAGAAATTACACGACGAAAACCGAGTAGGGATGGGGCGGGGGGGGGGGGAAACTCGCATGGAAATTCATCTTCACTACATTTGGAAGTAGAACGGAAAGCAAACGAACAGAAATCAAAGACCGCCACGGCTTCCGAGCTCCGCTGGCTTTGTCAAGGCTCTGCCGCAGGCGGCACCGAATGATGGACGACAGGACTCGGTCGGTCCCCCCCGCGAGAGTGAGCCGGTATGATTCCAACTGAAGACACGGGCGGAGCGGCGCTTCATCGGTCCTGCATGCGCGTGCGTCACCTGCCGGGGTCACTTGCTCGAGACCGCAGGTGTCGAAATCATTTCGGAGTGAAGACTTCCCTCGGAGGGAAATCGAACAAATGTTGAATCAGCTCATCGCATTACTTGTACACAACAACAAACGGATGTATGACCAGTTTTGAAATCACTCGAGTCCACGATATGTTTGTTAAATTAGGTTTCGCGTTTCTTTTTTTTTTTTTTTGCAGACACCGCAGTCTTTTTTTGGGTGACCCCAGAAAAACTCTTGCCGATCTGACACGGTTTCGGCTGTTACTTCAGCCTTGTCGGAGCTTCCTTGAGACGTCTTAAAAAGAGCTCTTTGTCTGTTGCTTGTTCAATGATTATTTAAGTGAGTGGAAATGGGGTCACAAAATGATCAAAAACTCTCAACATTATTGATTACACCTGACGGGAGAGATTTTAGCAAGGATCGCGGGAGTTGGTTTAGTTTTTGGCGGGCCGGATTTGGCCCCCGGGCCTTGACTTTGACACCCGTACACGGTAGTTGCGCTTTAACGGGGCCTGAAAATCAAACGGTTCCTTGATCAAGTCATACAATTAGAAACCAAGTATTTTGTCGTGACGCGGTTGACATTTATTTGCCTTTTTATTTTTTTCAGGACACAAACGCAAGATCCAAACACGATGATGACATGGCGCTTCTAGCCGCCGTAGGGAAACTTGAGCAGCATCGCCTGCCCGGCGCCCAGACGCAGGCTGGCGGGGTTCACGCGGGCGCCCGCCGCCGGGGCGCCGGCGGTGGCGAGGACCACCTCGGCCAGTTTTTAACCCCTGCGGTCCCATCCCATGTAGACAAACCCTAAATCAAACAAAAGCTTCCGATTGGCCTGGAGTGATCAGCCATGGTGTGAATATTTTGTAGAGATTTTTCGCCCTCTAAAAAGCGGCTGCCGGCTACTCATCCAGTGCAGTTACATAAACATGCTTCATAACAGAGAACTAGGATGAGCGCCACTGTTCATGTTGCCATTCAGTGTAAATAAAAGGGATGGATTAAGTCACGGGGGGGGGGGGGGGGGGAGGGGACGACATCATCGTCATCAATACGGCGTCATCCTCCTCATCTCCAATGTCAACCTCATCATCAGCATCATCATCCTCTTCCTCCTCATCACATCTTCACATTTTGCGTTTGCAATCGTTTACCTTGAGGGTTGCGTTAAGCTCCTGCTCCTCGTCCCCCCCGGGTGAGTCCCAAATCATTCTGGGAAACTTTGTGCCCTGCAAAAAGACATGCCCAGAAAATAAATCAATACAAACAGTGAAAAAAAAAACCCAAAAAATTCAATTTGTTGCGCCATCACAATTGAAGAACCCCCCCAGGCCTCCTCCCCGACACACACCGAGTTTTTCCACCCCTGACTTGGCAGCTCGGTCGCGGGAAAAGCTGACATTTTCAAGCCGCGACACGGTTAACGTTTTCGTGTCCAAATATAAAAGGCGAGAGAGAGCAAAGCCGCAGCCTTCGCGCAGACGAGCAGGATTTTCCAAGCCCTTTCTCTGGCGCCACCTTGCGGCGAGGCGAGCACCCGCACTCACCTCGTCCATCAGGCCGATCTCATCGCCGTACTGGAGCACGGGCGTCCCGGGCAGCGTGAAGAGCAGCAGCTGGTAAAGCGGCGCCAGGGCCGGGCCCACGAGCGAGGCCAGGTGACCCGCCCCCCGGCCCCCCAGGTTCCAGGCGAGACCGGTCGCAGAGTGAGCGGCGTACAAGTCCAGGACGGAGCGAGCGAGCTCGGACGCGTCTCCCTCCGGGAGGACCCCGGAGGTCAGGAGGTCCACGCCGGTGGACGACAGAAGGGCGGACACGGCGGCGGCCGAGCGCCGCTCGGTCGAGCCCATCAGAAGTCTGCGGGGAGGAAGGACCTCGTCGGCATTTCACAATAAAGCCACCGGGCGAGACTTCCTGTACGGCAGGAAGAAAGCTGGAGCGGGGTGGTCGCTCTTCCAAAGGCACCGACATTTCTCAAGAATGATACGCGCGAAGCGAAGGATGAACAATTCATCAGATTCAAATCGATATCGCAAGGTCATCGAACGCCTCGCGCCTGCTTGAGAGATTTTCTGATCAGCACTTCTATGAAGTCGTGGCGTGCGTCAAGCACGCGTGACATCTGGGACGTTGCGACGCCGAGCACGTGTGTTCAGCGACGTTCTCAAAAAAGACTCGTGAGCACTCGCGAACGTCACGCTGACCTCCTGGTGGGCCGCTCGTTGGTCCCGTTCTGGACGATGGCCCAGATGTCGGCCCACAGCGACGGCACGGCGGCGGCGACGTGCTCCACGTCCGCCAACTGAACGCCGTCCACGCCCGCGCCGAACCAGAAGACCAAGGCGGGCTGCAAGTTCATCGCCTGTCGGAAATTTATTCCGCCACATGACGGAATGTGGAAAAAAATTGTTGGAAGAAAACAACGGAACATGGCTTGATCTCAAATTCGACTCCTCTGAGCTATTTTTTGGGCCGTCATCACGTTGTATTTGTCCGAACAAATGGCATCTCAAATGAATAAGAAACGCAAGAAAACAGTGTGGACTTTGGAGGATAAAGAATATATCCACCAAAGTATTGTCATCGTATCTGTCTGTGTTGTTCCCACATTTATGATCGCAGATCCAACACATGAAGACTTGTCAACGACGGTGCGTTTCATTTGCCCATCGATAGCGCTTTTTTTTTTTCCTTCTTCTGAATACTCCTTATGAGCATGAAGCCGAGCGAAATGTTGGATGTTGGCCTGTCGGAAATTTATTCCGCCACATGACGGAATGTCCAGCTGCCAAAAAGAAAACGAATCGACTTAAGCGTGTGCTTCCTGGTTCTTGTTAACGCTTGCTATCACACAGAGCGTATCATGTGACTAAGAGACATAAAAGAAAGCCAGAAAAAAATTGGTGGAAGAAAACAACGGAACATGGCTTGATCTCAAATTCGACTCCTCTGAGCCATTTTTTTGGGCCGTCATCACGTTGTATTTGTCCGAATGTGTTGTTCCCACATTTATGATCGCAGATTCCCTTTTGAATGCTGGCGTGCGCGCGCTCACCCGGGGGGGGGGGGGTTCGCTGTCCTCCACTTTGAGCTCTCGCTGCGTCTCTGCCACAGAAGACGAAGATTCCCTTTTGAATGCTGGCGTGCGCGCGCTCACCCTTCCTGTGCGCGACCCGCACGAGGTCTTTGAACTGCTCCAGACTTCCGGCATCAGCTGCGATCTCCTGAAAGCTCAGCGCGATGGCATCGTCGGGCGGGGCCACGTGCACCGGCCCAATCACCAAGCCTTTGAACTTGAGCTTGGACAAGGCGTCCACCTTCTGCTGTACACCTGACACACACACGTACACACACACACACACACACAATGACGTTAGTATACAGTATGCTAACACGGCAGCTCTGACCACAGGCATACCTTATAGACCATGGTTATTACGGGTAACGAAAACGAACATCATGAAAACAAAAAAACACCCCCCCCCAGAAAAAAAAAGGAGTGTTTCAATAATATGGCATCAAGACGCGAAATATGAAGTAATCGCTGCAGCTTATCGTATAATATCCGGAATACGCGGTGGTCGTGGCGGTTTGTGTTGGATGTGGCCACTGTGCCACATCCAATATGGCAGCGGCGCCAAGGCGCTCAAGGCGGGGGCGCGCAGCGCATGCGCGGCATCGACGGAGACGATTACCTCTGATGTCTCCGGCGTCGGTGAAGGCGTGCACGCTGGGCACGTGGTAGAGCGCCCCGCGGTTCCACCAGTGGGTGGCGGGCCGGTCTCGGCAGCGCGGCGCCTGCAGGATGAGGAGCACGGCGCCCCCCAGCATGCCCAGCCAGCCCAGCCAGAAGAGGACCAGCAGGGCCCAGCGAGTGCGCACCCACCTGCAACAGGACAAACAAGAACTGTCTCACACACAAACATCCGAGACAGCTTCTGGGGGGTTCCGTATCCAGCCGGGCATTTGCCAGCCTCAGCGCTCGCGCTCACACAACTCACCGATTCACCGAGTTGGGGACTTTTTTTTTTTTCATTGGATGGACAGTATGAATGTTTTGCGTTTGTTTTTTTTTGTGGGGGGGGGCAGCCTATCCCATCTCCTCAAGGCTTTACACTGGCCCCTTTTTCAGCTGTCAAACACTCTTTTCATCAGGTTGATAACTGTTGTGTTTGTAGGCGTTAAGTGGCTTTGCATCCGTGAATTCTCTTTTGGATAAAATGTGTTCTACAGCTGCCTTTACTGAGAAAAACGTCCTCCATTTTATTTTGTCAAGTGGCTGGATGACGAAATAAAATCCTTTGGCTCCAGACAGGGTATTATACATCTATTTGGATCCAGATGATGCGATTTTAACGAAATAGAATGGAGTCAATTGAACATCCCGTCTATTTTATTCGTGTTTTTTTTTTTTTTCGTGTTTCCTCGCCTTGGGTGTCACATTAGGCAGCACGACTGGTTGGTGAAACCCAAATAGAGTACAATCAGTCTAGGAAATCCAAGAGGAGCTGCGTTCCTACCCGGGCGTGCCCGCCACTCGTAGCAGCTCCTCCTTGTTGAGTCCGGTGAATTTCTCCTGCTCCTCCTGCTCCATCTTCACCTTGACGCAGCCGTTCTTCTCCGACTGCGCTTCCGCACCGTTCACGGCTCGCTTCTCCTGGCCGTCCTTCCCTTCTTGCTTCTCGGAGACGGCGTCCGGTTCGTCGCGCCGGTCCAGAAGGACTTCGCTCACGTCGGCCTCCGTCGCATCAGCATCCGCAGCCTCGTCGCGCCGAGCGTCGGGCTGCGGCGGCGGCGCTCGGTCCGCTTCGCTCGCCGCGTCTTGCATCTCCGCGACGGCCTGGTGTCGGTTCGGGGTCGGGTCTTCGGTCCGGTCCATGGTGGCTGCGGTTTGGGAACCAAAGAAAAGGAGGCGAGACGAAGACGGTGTTCGATGACGGTTCGGGATGAAGAGAAGCACGTGCTGCGTTCAGGGCTGTCGGGAAAAACGACGCTTGAGCATCAACCATTGAGTCATGTCCGTCAAACAGCCGCCTGATGTGTATAACGGTATTTATTCTTACATGGATGTATACATTTATGTTGTGTAAATAAATGAGTGCGTGGTTATGATTCAAACAAATATAGTACAGGACAATAAAAACATTGAGCGCCGCATTTCCGTGTTAGTTGAAGGCATCATTCAACAAGATTTCTCTTCCGGCGCTTTTTATCACCCTTGTTGAAAAGCGATATCTTGGATCCTCATTCTGCTGTCATGTTGTGATGTGTTCTTTATTTTGAAGGGATCTGGCAACCCAACATACTACGTACGCCATATCCGGTCTGTACTCGGCGTGCAATACTTCCTCTTGCTGTATAGTGGTGATGAGAAGCGGCTGCTCTCTGTGCAGTCGGCAAATAAACATGCCACGAGTTTGGGTTAAGCAAGAAAATTCATCTCTCGTCATTATTCTCCCAAATACATCCCGAACGAAGCGCACATCTCAACAACCCTTGACGTCGTAATATTCTTTACACACCTGTGGGGCGGGGGGGGGGGGTCAATAAAAGAACCAACACGAGGCAGTTTCGATTCATGATGAATACGAAATCTATTCCGTTTTTCTCAGTAAAGTGTATTTTGTCGTTGAGGGACCTCTACCGGCCACGGGGTGAAACTACATTGGCGTGGCCCAAATTAAAGATGGGAGCTCGACTGCATTTCAAAAGAAGTCGTTTTCTACCAAACAAGAAGAAGAGGTCACAAGGGGACGGAAGTAGGCCGGTGAAGTCAAGACGATGAGCTGTCACTCAAGCGGCTGTCGCACACGTCCTTCCATCCAAGAAGGCGATTGGCCAACAGCTCCTCCTCCGAGGCCACAGCCAAGAGTTGGGAGACGGACGTTTTCTGACACAAAGACGCAGGACAAAGCGTTCACGCTTCAACGCGGGGGACGGCAAAAGTCGCATCACTCGCTACTGTTCACGATAATAATAATAAAAATATTAGCGCTCGAAACGAGCAAATGTATTTATTTGAGGAAGTGATTATTTGGGAAGAAAATGATCAAATTAACAATCGTAGGTCAACATTTTTTTTTTTCTAAATTGATTTGGTTAAGTGATTCACTGTACAAAAAAAATTGGATTCATGAAAAAAAAGTGATGTTGACAGCACATGCCAATAAAACATTGCTTCATTGATGTCATTAAAGATTTGGTTTGTTCCAAATAAAGAAGACAGAACATGAAATTGGAATTATCTTTTGATTCAAATAAAGTGCTTTAGAAGCTTTTAATTATACAAATGTAGATACTGTCCATGTTGTTGAAGCGGTACCACGGCTAATGTGCTGGCCAAGCTCTCAGGCCTAAATTTCCTACCAGCTGATCCAGGTCAGCAGTGGCATCGGCGCGTCGGCTTACAGCGCTTCTCTTCTCATCCAAAGTCTCCACAAAGTCCATCGCCATGTGGACCACTTGCACCACAAACCTTGAGCAACAACAACAACAACAACAACGTGACCTGCTGTCGACACATCGCGGTCATCTTATTTGCACATCGGACGCGGAGGCGGACGCTACCGGTGCAGGTGGGCCGGGATGGGCAGGCCGGTGCCGCACAGCGGCCTGCTGAGTCGCTGGGCCAGAAGCTTGTGGTCCTTCAGAACATCTTGCAGGTGAGTGCAGAACGTCTGCAGCGCCTGCAGCCTGGCAGCTGAGGAGGAAGGGAGAAGTTCTTCGATAAAGTTCTGATCCGAAACCCACCAATCGATCAACGCGCGCATGCGCGTGCATGTTCCTCACCGAGGTAGAACGCGTGAGTGACGTCAGCGTTCTTCTTGTCCTCCTTCAGTAGCTCCACCTCCAGCTGCAGCTGCAACACAGGAAGTGAGGCTGATGATGTCATCAGCGCGGGACAAATCAAAATGGGCTGCTCTACCTTCTCCAGCTCTTTCTGCATTTGGATTCGCTGCTCAGCTTCGTGCAGCCGAGAGGAGAAGAAGGAGCTCTGGGATGAGTAGGCAGACGCTAGTTCCTCCTGAGAACCGCAGTGAATTCGATTACTGGACGCAGTTACAAGCCAGTCAAGAGTTAGCGATGGCAACATGCCTACAGGCTGACCTGAGACACGGCTCCACTGGACACACATTTGGACAGGAGCCTGGGTGATGACGTCACGGCGCATTGAGGCATCTGGGGAGAGGGACTGTATTGTGACGTCACGCTCAACACGTCCACATTTCATCGGGTGATGGTTGACGGAGTACCATTTTGAAAACACAAATGACTTTCTCCTTGGATGTGTCCTATAGCCATTTCCATATATATCCTATGCTTACACACTTGTTGAACACTGAATCGTAACCTTACAGCGAGCTATATACGAGTGCTTATTATTCGCGATTAACCCTACATTCACCAAGCGTCCGGATTCCTTAAAACGAGTTTTTGCTCGAAAGAATAAACACACAGCAAACGACTTACCGTGGTAAAACAACAGACTTTTTGGTCGGAGGGGTGAAAAGTTCAAAATCTGACAAACGTTTGTGGAAATTCGAGCCCGCCAGACGCTTTGAGTTTCTGTTTGTCTCCTTCGTGTGTTTCGAGACGGTGTAGCCGCCCGACAGTGACCCCCAAATAGAAGGACGCCATGAGAACTGCACGCTCAGGGAAGGGGGGGGGGGGAGTCAACCCCCCCCCCAAAAAAAAAAACATGCATTTCGACATGTGTCTTGATATATTTCTGATTAAGTAGGCTGATTCTTGTGGCGAGAAATTGTGTTCGTGGCGTCTTGTCATGAAAAACAATAAAGTTAGTGAAAAAATACTTCCGGTTTCTGCTTATTTTTATTTTTTCAAAGGTCGATTAATATTTTCGTGTTTGTGGTCCGAAGTGTCCATCCTATGAACTTCGAACTTACAGTCGTGCTCAGATCACAATAAATAAATAAAGTGTAAAAACGAGTTTAAAACGACTGTACGCGCGACAGCATCCGGGTCTCCAGGTGCCGTCACTCCGTGTTTTGAGGCGAGCAGTGGGGCGGCAAAGGAGGCCAAAGTGTCGTAAACCAGCCAGCGTAGAAGCCACGATGAACTTGCGTGAAGCTCAAAGTGAGCTACGGCAGCTCTTGAGCAGAGTCGAACCTTCTCAGCTGCCGAAGCTGCTCGACTGGATGCGAACTTCAGGTACGCGCGCTCGTCCAAGACTGCGACGTCTTCTGCCGCATTTACTCGCTTCGAACTGTTGGAACGTCACACGTGTCGAGTTGTTGTTGTTGACTACGTTTACCCACAATGCCTTGCATTTGGAGATGAGTTGGATGAGATGCTGGTGGACAACAATCAAGTCATCTTGAGGTGCATCGCTGATGACATCAGGGACAGCCTGCCGACGGACGCCATGCTCGCGTGTGAGGCGAACGCCCTGCATAAGGTTGCGCATGCACACGTGTCTTTCACACTCACAGACAGAAGATAGCCTTTTCACACTGACGTACACCCTCTCACTGCATGTGCAGTACGTGCAGTCTTTCCCATTGGGACATAGCGCTTTCACTGCGACGTATACGTACATCATTCACGCTAACATGTAACCCTTTCGCATCTACATCTATCTTGTTCACACCCACATATACCCCTTCCAGATCAGGGTACAACTTTTGCCATCGACATGCACCCTTTCCCATTGGCACACACCCATTTCACATCTACATATGGCCCCTTTCACACCAAAATGTAGCACCTTTCAACGAAACCCTTTCACGCTGACGCATATTGGCCTTCGCACCTAAATATACCCCTGTCACACTGACCTGTACTCTTTCAAACTGGCACGTACCCCTTTTACAAGACAAATCCTTTCACTTTGACATGATGGCATACACCCCTTTCACACTGGCATGGACCAGTTTTGCCCTGACATACACTTCTTTCACTGGAATATATAACCTCTGTCACAATGGCATGTGTCCCTTTCACTCTCCATTCACAAATACAGTACAGTACACCCATTTCACACTGTCCTATCCCTTTGACAGATCGCATTTCACACCGACATCATTTTAAACGGACATATGCCCCTTTTGCACCGAAACAAACTCGTAACACGTAATATAGCATGTCTCACTCTGACAGAAATCGCTTTCCCATGACATGCCTCTCCAAAGCGACAAACACCCCTCTCCCACCGCAAGATGCGGGCGTGTGTACGGTACATGTGTTTGTGTCTTGCAGATGAAGCAGCGCGCGCGTCCGACCGTCCACGTAGACGCCTTCCTGTATGACGACGAGCACGTGGACTCCCTCTGCGAGGCGGGAAGGATGAGTCGATGCTACTGTCTCAAATGCGGATCCTGCAGCACGGCGCCTCTGGGTGCGTGAGTCCGTCGCCACTCGATGAATTGCGGTGCGGCGTTTTCCCACAATTGTCGGCTGTGTGTGCAAACAGACTTTGTCTCGCACTCGTTCTCCATGTGCGAGCTGCTCTTCTTGTTCCAAAACGTTCTGCCGGACCTGAGGGGTCGTACGCTGGTGGACGTCGGGTCAAGACTGGGGGCCGTGCTCTACGGGGTCAGATGGCAACACGAGCATACCCCCTCTCATGCCCACATATACACACACACACACACTTCTCAAATCAAAATACTACATCCTTTGCTTTCACGCAAACATGGATCCGTTTTCACCTGACGTATACTCCTCTCGGACAACATATATGACCTTTTAAAAGCCACATTGCACTTAGCTACTGACATCCACCCCTTTCACACTGGGATGTATTCCTTTCACATACCCCTTCCAGACTGATATGTACCAATGTCAAAAAGATCTACTCTCCTTTCAATCAAGTTTCACACGACTGAAAGTGTCTTTCACATCAATGTAACCTCTTCAAATCAATATATGCCCCCTTTCATGCTGTCATACCCCCCTTTCTCACTGGTATGGAGCCCACCCGCACATCAAGCCATTTTCAACCCCCCCTCCCGCCCCTTCACACTGACGTTTCCGTTTCACAGAGCCCTTTACATTGGGATGCAAGCCTTTGACACTAACGTACCTTTTTAAACTGACTTACCCCTTTCAAACAGACACACTGTACCCCATTCATTTCCCTTTCCCCATCCATGTACTGTACAGTTCGCCCTCAAAACTACTGTACATGAACCAATTTCACACTTGTGCATCTATCTGTACACCCCTTTCTCGCAGAGTTATAGCCTCTCTCACTACCTCTTTCACACTGACACCCATCAGGTCTTTGACACGGCCATACACCTCACCCTTGTTGTTCCTTCAGGGCTACGTGTATAGCTCGGCGTCCCGGCTGGTTGGCGTGGAGATCAGCGAGGAGTTTGTTCAGCTGCAAAATAAAATCGTGCTCAAGTACGGGATGGACGCCAGAGTCCAGGTGGGTCCGCTTCCATCTTGGCGTGCGTGGGGCGTCCGCGATCTGCTGAGGAGGGTGTATTTGATGGCTTTTTTTTTTTTTTTGCGGAGTATTTATTTGTGTAGTGTTTCTGCAACAGGTCATCCACGCTGACGTGTGCACGCAGGAGGCTCTGCTGCGGAATGCCGACGTGGTGGTCATGAACAACGTCTTTGAGTATTTCATGGAGCCCGGCGAGCAAGTCAGGTCAGGGCAAGGTTGCGCACGCAATATGGACACGCGGAATTAAAAGACATGCAGTTAACGCAGCCGCACCGTTCAGGACCTGGAGATTCATCATGCAAGCATTCAGGAAACGAGGTTCTTTGCTGGTGACGGTTCCCGGTCTGCATGAAGCTCTCCAACCTCTGCAGGTGAGGCTGACGCTCGGTGATGGATGACAGCCCCCC